CCCCGTGGAACTGGGAGAGCCCAACACCCTCATCTGTTTCATCGACAAGTTCTCCCCACCAGTGATCAATGTCACGTGGCTTCGAAATGGAAACCCTGTCACCACAGGAGTGTCTGAGACAGTCTTCCTGCCCAGGGAAGACCACCTTTTCCGCAAGTTCCACTATCTCCCCTTCCTGCCCTCAGCCGACGATGTCTATGACTGCAAGGTGGAGCACTGGGGTTTGGACAAGCCTCTTCTTAAACACTGGGGTATGGACCATCCTTCCATCTCCTTTCTTTTGTGATTTCCTCCCATGATGCCTGTGTCTGGTGCTTTGGGACCCAGAGTCCCCTAACTCATCCATGACAGTTGCTGCAATTCCTATTCCTTGCCTTCTCCCATTATTCAGCTCCCCCCACTGTTTAGTCTGCATTCCCTTAATTCATCATTCCTCTTATTCAGTTGATTAATAACTATTCTTTTGACTAAATACCCAACCTTTGGTTCTAAGTGCTGCTCCATACCACAGTCATTACTTCCACACTATACTCTGTGTTATTTTTCCCCAGAGTTTGAAGCACCAACCCCCCTCCCAGAGACAAAAGAGAATGTGGTGTGTGCCCTGGGCCTGGTTGTGGGTCTGGTTGGCATCATTGTCGGAACCATCTTCATCATCAAGGGCATGCGCAAGGTCAATGCTGGTGAACGCCGAGGGCCTCTGTGAGGCACCTGCAGGTGGGTTTGATGTGGTCAGAGGAAGACATAGATGGAGTTATCCAAGGGTAGGAGACAGAGTGGGGAAAAGGAAGGATATGTGACACCTTTAAAGGAAAATGATAGGGAAGTTATAGTTCTTTTTTTTTTTTAAGATTTTATTTGTTTATTTGACAAAGAGAAATAGCGAGAGCAAGAACACAAACAGGGGGAATGGGAGAGGGAGAAGTAGGCTTCTCACTGAGCAAGGACCCCCATGCAGGGCTCAATCCCAGGACCCTGAGATCATGACCTGAGCAGAAGGCAGACGCCCAACCGACTGAGCCACCCAGGTGCCCTGGGAAGTGATAGTTCTTTGATTTCTTTTTGCTAGGGCAGAATCAGACATTAGCATCATCTGGTATCCCAAAGCTTCAAGGTCCCATATTCCTTCCCATACATGTGCACCTACACCACAACTTCAATCTTGGAAATCATCTCCACTACCTAAGACCATTGTTTCACATCAGGCTATTGAATCAGGTGATCTAGGAAAGATTTGGGCACTTCCTTGTTTATGATTCCAGAGGCAGGCCTTCAGTTCAGAAACATTCCCAGAGTTTGGCTCACTTAGGGTTAGGGCAGATTAACTACATGAAATGAAAATTCCTTGAAGGCCAATGCCTTCTCTAATCTGAAAAGTGGTTAAAACTTCTAAGAGAAGGTAAGCCATGGTCCGCTTATTCATACTCACTTGGAGAGTAGGGGGTGCAGTTCATGTGGAAAAGTTGTATTTACTAGACAGAGGTCAGATGAATATTTAAGGACTTTTCCAAAGTCAAAGGATTAAGGGAGAAGAAGAAGGAATCTGAAAAAGAAAAAAGAGCTTAAAATACTTATCTTAGCTCTTTAGTAATTCTGTGTGTCCTGCTACAGGCAATGCAGTTTCCTAGAGAGAAGATCAATGAAGAAATTTGTGCTTCAGTAGCTTTATAAACCTGGCAATATTTCAACCATTCATCTCGCTGAAGACAACAATTCTTCCACATTTTCCAGACCTTTAGCTGTTCTAATAATAATGATGCCTTCCTGCTCTGTCCACATTCTGATATCTAGTTATTCCCTGTTTGTTGCCCCTTCTTGGGTCTGTTTTCTTCCATTTCCTACCATCATTTAATATCACCATGTAATGCTCTAGAATAGACCCCATAGTATCCCGTCTCGGCTATGGAATCTTACGAATGTTCAATACAGACATCCCTTCTATACTTATTGCTTGGGTTTCTTCAAAATGTGATTGTGATTTTTTTTTTGAACACAATAAACTATTTGATGGGTCTGAAATGAAGTTTTGGTGTCTAAGGCAGTTCTTCACAGGGACTAGGGAATATATGTGATTCTTTCACCCTGAAATTTGTGAATGTTGAATGTATGTGATAAGTTATGTAAGCAATTAGAGATATCTAGGTTTGGGGCACCTGGGTGGCTGAATCAGTTAAATGTTTGACTCTTGAAATTGGCTCAGGTCATGATCTCAGCATCGTGAGATCAAGCCCCATGCAGATTCTACACTCAGATCAGAGTCTATGATCCTCTGTCTTGTTTCTTGTTTCTTAAATTCCACATATCAATGAAATCATATGATGATTGTCTTTCTCTGATTAACTTCTTTCGCTTAGCGTAATACCCTCTAGTTCCATCCATGACATTTCAAATGGGAAGATTTCATTCTTTGATGTATATATATATACATACCACATCTTCTTTATCCATTCATCTGTCAATGGATATTTGGGCTCTTTCCATAGTTTGGCTATTGTGGACATTGCTGCTATAAACACTGGGGTGCAGGTGCCCTTTCAGATCACTACATTTGAATCTTTGGGGTAAATACCCAGTAGTGCAATTCCTGGGTCATAGGGTAGCTCTATTTCCAATTTTTTGAGGAAACTCAATACTGTTTTCCAGAATGGCTGTACCAGCTTGCATTCCCACCAACAGTGTAGGAGGGCATCCCTTTCTCTGCATCCTTGTCAGCATCTGTCATTTCATTACTTGTTAATTTTAGCCATTCTGACTGGTATGAGGTGGTAGCTCACTGTGGGTTTGTATTTCCCTGATACACAGTGATGTTGAGCACTTTTTCACGTGTCTGTTGGCCATTTGAATGTCTTATTTGCAGAAATTTCTGTTCATGTCTTCTGCCCATTTCTTGATTGGAATATTTGTTCCTTGGCTTTTGAGTTTGATAAGTTCTTTATACATTTTGGATACTAGCCCTTTATCTGATATGTCATTTCCAAACACCTTCTCCCATTCTGTCGGTTGTCTTTTGGTTCAGTCGACTGTTTTCTTTGCTGTGCAAAAGATTTATCTTGATGAAGTCCCAATAGTTCATTTGTGCCTTTGTTTCCCTTGCCTTTGGCGATATTTCTAGGAAGAAGTTGTTGCAGCCTAGGTTGAAGAGGTTGCTGCTAGTGTTCTCCTCAAGGATTTTGATGGATTCCTGTCTCACATTTAGGTCTTTCATCCATTTTGAGTGTATTTTTGTGTATGGTGTAAGAGAATGGTCCAGTTTCATTCTTCTGCATGTGGCTATCTAATTTTCCCAACACCACTTGTAGAAGAGACTGTCTTTTTTCCATTGGATATTCTTTCCTGCTTCGTCAAAGATTAGTTGACCATAGAGTTGAGGGTCCATTTCTGAGTTCTCTATTCTGTTGCATTGATCTACTTGTATTTTTTTGTGCCAGAACCATACTGTCTTGATGATTACAGCTTTGTAATAGAGTAACAGAGCTTGAAGTCTAGAATTGTGATGCCCTCAGCTTTGGTTTTCTTTTTCAACGTTCCTCTGACTATTTCGGATCTTTTCTGTTTCCAACAAATTTTAGGATTATTTGTTCCAGTTCTGTGAAAAAATTTGATGGTATTTTGATAGGGATTGCTTTAAATGTGTAGATTGATCTAGGTAGCATAGACATTTTAACAATGTTTGTTTTTCCAATCCATGAGCATGGAACATTTTTCCATTTCTTTGTGTCTTCCTCAATTTCTTTCATGAGTATTCTATAGTTTTCTGAGTACAGATCCTTTGCCTCTTTGGTTAAATTTATTCCTAGGTATCTTATGGTTTTGGGTGCAATTGTAA